TAATGGTAGTAAATATCGTCCCAACTTGGTCAATACTTTTCCCAGTAAGACTGCGAAACAACTGGCATATTAGATCGAAACTCATACCACACGCTGTAGCCCCCTGATGGCTGTCGGTAAAACCTCACGAATTCCCACTTTTAGCATCTCTTACGACTCATTCACTCTCTATTTCGCTTCATCCTTCTGCATTTCCACTCAAAATTGGATGGCCTTAAATAGAATTGAATTCTCACTCAAGTCTTCTACGTTCCCTACTTCAGTCAATGATGTTACATTCCCCGCGTATCTTTCTGACTATCCCTAGAGATACCTTTTTTTCTATCAGGATCAATTAATGAGAATAGTAAAAATTGCGAAGAAATAATAATAGAATCGGTGATGACATCTTCCCTATAATGCAAAATTTTACATTAAATATTTTAAAAAATCAGCTAAGATATCTTAAATTTACTCGTCATATTCGTATGTTTATGCTGTTAATAATTTCATTTTCTTCTATGAATTTTTTCACGAGTCCATAACCAACCGTAACTCTATAGTTTTTTTTTACGTTCTCTTTAGCCACACAAATCAAAATTGGAATACTAATTTTAATTCGATTCCAATACAAATAACGATCCTGCGATGTCCTCTCGATTCACACTCCATCAAGTATTTCAACTAACCCCAAGTATCGACAGTATATTTCTCACTCTTGGTACCTGCAATTCCAGTGTTTCAATATCCTTCGAATAGACTACATTCAGATCAAAACTTAGCTAGCAATATAATCGTTCAGCTCTCATTACTGCCCATTCCATTATCCATTCATTTATAGAACCAAAACGCAATAAATAACCCAGGTATCATATTCATCTTTTTTATATTTAATCTTATATATATTATTATATTTTATACTATCTTAGTCTATTGATACTGGGTAGGTTCAATATTTTTATATATTCAACAAAATTTACAATAACGCGTCACAATTGTATGCAGAGTCGCGATTCAAGAATTTCTATTAGAAATTGACGTAAAAATTAGGTAAGCCTGAGCAAAATTTTGTGCAAAAATTTGTAATTTTTCTTTAACATTCTGGAGTTTTCACGGCAACTTCGAGTGAAAATTCCTGAATTGCCCGTCTGCTGCACAATAACGAAACTTTAGGCTAAATTTTATCGAAAATTGCGGTCCGTTTGAGTAGAAATTACAGATCGTTCATAAAAAGTAGGAACTGTGATGCGCATTTTTAACAGAAAATAACGAAATACTTATGGTAACCTCTACTATGCTACTCTAAGTTCGTAGTAGAGATTTTGGCTGGCTGAGCAACTTTGCCCGTCGGGGCGACGGTCGCTGGGCGATCGTCGCCTGTATGCTTGGAACTCTACCCTGTAGAACATTCGGGGCGAGCTCCGCCGGCTGCCTCAACCTGGACTCTCTCCAACTCTCTCAGTTGATAGGTAGCTCAGTCAAAAATGCATGATGAGGAGAATAAATGGGACATTCATAAAAAATAGAAAAAAATCGAAAAGTTTGCCTCCGTTGCCAGTGTCACTGCCAGTACTTTTTAGGTACATCTGGTGGAATTTCAGCGTCTAAAAAAAGTAAGTTCCTAACGCGCGTATCCGTACACGTACGTGTATACTTACCGCATTACCGCTCGAACTCAATCATAATGTAATTATATATAGTCTGCTCTCATTTATTGCTTCATGTGAAATCAAACACCGTGCAATGCACTAACTTACACATTCATTTTCGATGGATAGGAAAATCAATTTCTCTGCATCATATATTTCATTATCAATATAGTGTAAATAATTATTTTTCGAGATTGATGAATTATTAAATGGTTGATAGATCCATCTACAGGTTTTATCCATTTATCAATTTTGTTTATGAATTTATTTCATCCATTAAATGGAGACATTAAATATTAAGATATTTTTTTGATCATTAATTAATGAAGTTTCCGGGTTTTTCTCACTATTAAAAGTAAAGGATAATTGAAAATTGATAATAAAAAATTGCCTTCTTTAAATAGATTCATTCCAATTTTCAAAATAAAACGAGTATTGAGCGAGAATAGACTAATTAATCTTAAAACAAATACAAAATCCCGTGTATTATTAATCTGAGGACTCGCTGATGTGAACAGAAAAACAATAGACATGTGTATTTAATTATTCTATAATAAATATAATACCGATTTCATTATTAATAATTTATTTTGGGTAAGTTATTGTTTCCGCCAAATTCCTAATCTATATGAATTCTCTATTTGCTTCCCGATTAATCGATTTCCATGTAAATTACATATTCAGGTGAAAAAATATCTGGAACAACAGTTCTCCCCACGTGTTAACAAGAAACTTTAGTCAGTACGGGACGTGCTGCCATCGTAAGTTCGAGGCGTCAACTATGGTAACCTATGCAGTGAGCTCAGGTATTATCGACATACTAGCCATCATTATCGATTTCTATTAGGATTCTGGACACTTCCGACCATCTTTACCCGACTTTTTTCTCCGTGCACGCATTATATTTATTTCCCATTTGTAGATATTTTTTTGTCTACCATCATAAAATATTCCATTGATAAAAAAATTGGAGCAGTTCATATAAGCATATCTGTCCATTATATATCTGATTGGTGAGATGCTTTTTTTATATAGCAAGCGAATATTTTCAGCCGTGTACATGAAGAATTTTCCAATTAATATCCATAATCATAAATCAACATAAAATATTAAGAACAACTCGATGAATAAGAAAGTGAGAAAATAATAATAATGTAATATACATGATTATCCTCCGCAGAAAAAAAAAATAACAGTAAACAGTAAACAGTAAACAGTAAACAGTGACCAATTCCTACTGATGTTTGCGCAACAATTGGAAAAACGAAAAAAAAATGGTCTTTTATCCATCCAAATTTGATCACTTTTCAACTTTGTAAACGTGCTGTCTGGTTTCTATACAACAAGAACCAGTCAGAATGATCGAATTGGCATGGGTAGTGCAATAGTTGAATAATACGTGGCCCTAGGTACAGCCGACAAAATTAGGTACTTTATAACCCCTCAACAATTTTACAGAATTAATGGTACGGTAAGACAGTACGACAGACGCCGTCTCATTTAAATGGAATGCGCATCGAAGTTGGCAGAACATCATTAGGTGAAAGTCCCCATGATGATTACGTATCTTTCAAAAATACACATGTATAATTAACCGTTACCCCAAGGGTTACACGTTAAACAGTTCCATTTCTATCAAATTGTAAGTATAACCAATGGGTATTGAATTGAACGCAATTTTATATAACGGAAAAAAATCACATTCTATTAATATATGGAAATCCCTACATGTTTGTGTAAATTCACCTCCCTATTTCTTTTTAATATTCAATGGCAGCCAGTGACTAAAGGGAAGCATGGATTAAAGGAATTTGTATTGACTGATAAAAACTTACATCCAGATTGAGTGATTGGGAAGTGGAGGTAGTATAAAATCTGCAATATTAAAGAGTAGAGAGTACCTCTTCCTGGTGATATAGCTCGTAAAATTTCTCATTGTGCATCTTTTTCAATCTCCTATTACGTCTATATTTCCAACAAGTACGTATATGCAATTCATGTAACTCGATATAATACTCCTCCCATGTCATCGCAATTATTCGTTGCTCTTATGTCATTATAATAATGTCCATGCCACAAATATAAAGTTTTCAAGTAATCCAGACAAAACCAATAACTGGTACATTTTACATTCGCACTTATTTTCCTGAAATGACATGCACAAAACATGGAAATCTTTATTATTTCCGACTTGATTCATTGAGGGTGATTTGGCAACAAAAATGAGCGTTACAAAATATGCCTACACTTGACTACCTATATACGAATAAAAAGGGTTGTATTACAATGGCTACCTGTGGCTTTCCTCATTTGAATGTGCGGAACGCCAACTGCGATTTTTTTGTAACCATTGCTATTTGACTAATGTCTCGACATTTGTATCGAAATCATCCACTTGGATAATTAATCGCCGAAATAATCATATGGATAACCTGTTGCACAGCTCATCTTTGAATATTATTTCTAACATTAACGATTCGATTCACTTGTTAACTCATTGATGGTTGTGTATATTTTTTTATGAAGTGTACCATGAAAATCTTTGATGATTTACATGGAAAAGCGCTGTTGACTCTAATTAGAAGAGTGCAATAACACGATTTTGCGATTCAATCATGCCCCTCTCTTACCCCTAGACTAAAGATATTCCAAACGAAGTCCTCCACCCGCTCGCCTACCTCACTTCTTCACCTGTTGCACATGCCAGATACACTATGCTATCCCTCTAAAACGTGTATATTTGTCTGTAACCCTCTTTGCTCACCCCTGCCCCCTTCCCGTCCTGGTTCCACTCTTATAAAAGGATAGTATAAAAATGGTAAAGTATGACAACGCTTCTTACTAAAATTATATCATGTTTATTCAAATATTTGAGGAGAGTGAGTGATGATAAATTCACATCTTCATTAGGACTTAATTATTTGATAGACGTAATTTTAATATCGCCGAGAAGTTTTCTCGTATTGAATGAAAATAAAGAATAGTAACTATGAAACGTGAGATCTTCTTTTATCATGGATAATGCAGTCAATGCCGATAAGATTATTTAACTGAAATAAAAATAATGGCATTTTGTAATAATAAGGGTTAAAGAACAGAAGTTATGCGATGTTGGTATGGTTTTCTCGGGCTTGATAGAAGCGCGCGAGGGGTAAGCGTTGTTATAGATAGCATGTAGAAAACCCCGTTTTCACTGACAAACCCAGACCTCATAGCCCGACAGGCGGAGCTGGACTGATTGCACCGCCCAATGGTGACGTAGTACCGACGGCCACCTTGCTACTCCTACCAATGACAATGCATTGGCTGTAGAGTGGGGGAATCGAACCAAGGGTCGCGCGCATGTCGAGCTCTGTGGGAGCTCGGGTGGCCGTCGGGGACCTCGGGCAAGTTGTGAGGCGAGGCAGTCAGTCGCTCTCAGCTACAACATGCATAACGCATGAGAGCTAGCTACGTCTTTTCTCTTATCCGTATATTTTCTTTTTACTCCAAAAACTACGAAATTATATTCCGTCTCGCTTATTCGTGTTATCGTGATCCCCACATAGGAACATATAGTTAACCAATCGTTTGACGTATTCAAGTTTGTGCGTAACCTGGAGTTATTTTTTGCACATAATCTTGGTGTTTTTCAAGAATTACTGTTTACAAATTTAGAACGGTGTGATTCAACGGAGTTTAGTCCTGTGGTCACCAGTTAGTCTGGTTTGTCGACGTTAGTGCTGTTAGATTGTGTTCAAACGTTCAATGAAACGCGTCGGGATGTCGTGGTGAATTTCAGACCATTCAACGATTAATTTTTTCTTGGAGAACGATTTTTCAAGGAATTTCAGTTTATTTGTTTTAAAATAAGCCCGTGAATGATGTGGAAATGTGGACGACCCAATATAAAAATGACTGTGTACGAAGAGGAAATAGACCACTAAAAGAAAAACCATTAAGTTTCTTCTTATCCGATTTTTTGGCGCTACAGTGAACTACATCGAAAAGAGTGAATTTGTGTTTGCTTGTCTGCTTCGGTTTTTTTTTAACCAAACATGGAAAATAATGTGGATAGGAATGTAGTGAAAACCGTGATTATGTGGAGTCTACCACCGAACATTGTCAGTTAACGAGACTTACACAATTTTAAACTCTTTGAAATAGCCAAGGACCTTTAAATTTTAGTGTAACAAATATTCAAAACTTTATTTGGTTTTGAATTGTCAGTGATCGAAAAGTATAAAGAGAAATTCTAGGCTTCCCTAAGTATCTAATCGAATACCTATAGTCAACCTATGAAAGTGGGTGCTCCGTACTGAACTACTGAAAATCAATTTAATTCGTCTTGAGAAAGAAATTAAAGAAAAAAACGCTCATGGACTGAGAAGTTAAGTGAATATAAATGAAATAGATAAGTGTACATCTGTCATCAACAAACAAAATAAAAAATTTGTGTGTTGTTGACAAGGGGGTGAAAAACCGCAACCAGCAAGTGGTGCGGTTATAATTGACTGGTGAGGGAGTAGATGGCAGCTACCACGTACATGCCGGTTAGTAGCGCAGTGTCAGCCGACCTGGACGGTGGTTCGGGTACAGCTATCGGTATGAACATCGCTGTAGGTGGCTACTCATCGGGTTCGCCCCGCAGCGCCGCCGATGCCGGTGAAATGAAGTACATGCCGGCGCCGCAACACCACCACCATCATCATCATCATCACCAAGTGTCATCGTCACCCTCGCCAAATGGCTTGTCTCATCCAACGAGTTTACCGACGACAAATCCATGGGTTAGTCTTCAACCAGGAAGTGATTCATGGGCCGCATCAATGGGAATGCATCATACGACTCATCATCCACACCATCATCCACACGCTCAGGGTAATTCGAGCTTGGATGTTAAACCATTGGCTGCCGCAGCGACGGCAACTGACTCTGTCCAAGCAATGCATCACCGGGGTCCACATCAATCACCTGGAATGGGATCACCGCATTCATGGCATGCACCAGTTGTACCGTCGGCTCACTATAATCCAAGTGGTGGTGCAGCATCACCGACGACACTACAACATTATCATGCTGCGATGAATGGTATGCTACATCAACATCCACATCAACATCCCCATCAACTTCACAATCATCAAACTGGTCTACCGCATCACCTGAGGGATGCTCATAATCACAGTCCACCGGCTGGACATCCACTTCATGGTGGTCATCCACTAGATAGGGATCATAGCGCTGGTGAAGAAGACACACCAACATCAGATGATCTTGAAGCATTTGCCAAACAATTCAAACAACGACGTATCAAGTTGGGTTTTACCCAGGCCGATGTTGGTCTTGCACTTGGTACGCTTTACGGCAATGTTTTTTCGCAAACGACGATATGCAGGTTCGAAGCATTACAGCTGAGCTTCAAAAACATGTGCAAATTGAAACCCCTTCTGCAAAAATGGCTTGAAGAGGCAGACTCAACGACAGGTTCACCGACAAGTATCGATAAAATAGCGGCACAGGGTAGAAAAAGAAAAAAGCGAACGTCAATCGAAGTATCAGTTAAAGGTGCATTGGAGCAACATTTTCACAAGCAGCCAAAACCATCAGCCCAAGAAATAACTTCTCTCGCTGACAGTTTACAATTAGAAAAAGAAGTCGTTCGGGTGTGGTTCTGCAACCGTCGGCAAAAAGAAAAACGTATGACACCTCCGAATACACTTGGCGACGGTATGATGGACGGTATGCCACCTGGACATCAAGGACAAGGTTTACATCAAGGCTATCATCCGCAGGATCATCTTCATGGATCACCAATGGGCCACAGTCATAGTCCGCCAATGTTGAGCCCTCAGGGTTTAACAGCACACTCTCTGGCGGCTCACTAGCGTTCGCCGGGGCCTCCCCCGCTGGGCCTCGCCATAACCTCCCAATCGAATTCAACAACGAGTCCTGATGGACTACCACCCTTTTATCATCACTACCTCCAGGCACGAACCACTGGATACGGTGCTTCGTAGCTGCAGTGGCAGTACCATCGTCATCAAAACCAACAGCTTGATCAGCACATACAGTTTATAACGAGTCAGTTGGATAATGACGATCTGGATGATAATCAATGATGACTTGTGACTTCAAGGAAAAGGGTTATTTTCGATACGGGGGTGATAACGAGGCCTTAACCGGAGCACCGGGGTGGCCGCCGCAAGTGTTTCTTTTGTGTCCGGCTTTATTGATTAATAACTTTAAAAAACGCAATAGAGCCGTGGCAATTAAAAAAATGAAAACTAAACTATTCTGCAAAGTTTTTACAATACTGTGAATAAACTCATGTTAAAGTCGTATAAACGAACCTGAAGATGCAATTTTTTAAACTTTGCGTAGACAAAAGGAACAGAGCGAATCAACTGAGGATTATTCAAGTCGACAGAGAATTTTATCCCACGGATATTATTGGACAAGGCCAATAAACAGAATGAAAAAATGTAAAAATGAAATTTGAACGAACCTCTTAAACGCTTTTATATCATCGTCGTTCCCAACGTTGTTGTTGATAAATTGTTGTTTGTTTGTTCCCTGTGACGTGTGTCTCTCTCTCTCTCGGTGAAGTGTTTTGAACGTGATACATAAATGATTAATAGAGCAATGAAAAAACCACCGTCGGGAAAACATCGCGATTTCCGAAACCATCGTTTAAAATCGAGGGAATGTGGACAAAATGTTATAGTTACTTTTTCTTCGTTCTCAGCTGCAGCTCAAAAAATAAACAAGTGTCGTGTCTCTTTATTTTTATTATTATTATTATTATTATTATTATTATCATTATTATTTTTGAAAGACGATCATGTAATCCATGTGTGTGTTATCCAGAAACTGTTGAGCCTCTCGACCCTCTTTTTTCACCAAGTAATGATCAACTTCGTCGAAGAGAAAAATCGTCTGTCTACTGTGTTGATGATGAACAGCTTCGAATCTAGCAATAGAATAAACTAATTTTTGAAAAGAAAACTTTTATGCCGTCAAGAAGTTGGCTCGCTCGACCCAATGAGAGTGAGTACGATATTCAAAACCAAAAAAAAAAACTTTCACTGTCGCTACACAGTTATTCGGCAGTATTCAATAATCAAGAAATATTCGAAAACATAATAATATGAATAGCGGAGTTTAAGTGTGAAGCAAACAATTTTTTTTAATCAACTGTCAGAGAGGTCGCAGAGAAGGATATAACACACTCAGGGATAGACACTCGGACACGCATATAATAGCAAAAAGAATACACACGATCTCCAAATATCGTTTATTAAAATAGATATTAAAACATCTATACACGTACACATATATGACTAGAGAGAACAAAGTATACGTATATGAAAAAATGAGTAAAGAGAAATACACAAGCACAGAGAGGGACTAGCGCTCGCAGGCAAACCGTATACCGTAGGGGAGTGCTCTTGTGCTCGGGTGGAATTCACTGGGTGATGTAACATAAGTAAATATGGATTGTAAATACTGTACCAGATAAAGCTAGTAAGTTAAGTGAGCATGCTGCGTCGCGCGTCATCGAGTTTGGAATATCCTCATTTTTCTTCATTTTTTTCATGTTTAATTTTTCTCCACTTTAATGGGATAAGAAAATTTGATTCCGCGATTGGCATTCATCAAGAAAAACATTAGATGAGAAAAATTAGTTAGGAAGAAGGGGAAAAATGACACCTGTACGAATCTTGCGTTGACGTGGTAGTGTATAGGTTCATGCAAAAAATTAAACAAAAAAATATTCCTCTACGTTGAAGACAATCAGATATTTCTCACAATCTTTTACGTTTTTGTTGAGTTTTCATCCTGTATTGTGATTAAAATTGAAATGAAAAAATTCAGTCGACACATGTCAAAAGTGTTTACTACATTATAGCAAAATCAATTATTCCTATAATCTTGAGATTTGCTATGATTATTGAAAATTGTTGTTATTATTCAATTATTATCTTTTTTATCATGACAGATAGCCGTGCCAATGGGTTTTTTTTTCAAATATCACTGTGCCAGCAATGTAGGAGAAAATTCCAAAATTCGTAGATTTGTGAGAAAATTACTGATCGTTCATTCATTCGTTATTATTGTCTATTCCTTTTGGTTTTTGTTATTTTAATGAAACGTGAGTGTCCAATGAGAAAAGAAAAATTATAATGTGGCGTTGTGATTAATTGGGAGGCGAGGTTATAGAGAAATGAAATTAATAGAAGAAAACTAATTGATAACAACAAACACCGAAAATTGGCCTGATAATTAGCCGTTAGGGCCCAAAATACCTGACAAAAAAAAAGAACCAAAAACGTGAACCGGTGGAATTTAAGTTATGAAAAAAGTGAGCAATTGGAAGAAATTGCGATTGTGGATCTTTTATCCCGTTAAATTGTTTATAATAAATGAACTGCAAATGGTGCCAATAAATATTTGATTATCAACGGATAGAGTGGAATGCTGAGATCACGTCATTCTATACAAATAAAAAAACAGCAGAGGAATATCCGCAATCGTAAAAGATTTGGAAAAAGAAATTGAAAGATGATACGCGAGCTTTTTTTCTCCTTAACTAAAACCTGTAAAAATAGAACATTGGATTGAACATAGAAGAGTGAAAGCGAATGAAAAGCCGGTGTTATGCTACGACACCAGTCAAAAGATGGCAAAAACAATAAACCCTTCATTTATGAAAACAAAAAATCTACTGGAAAGATAAAAAAAACTCCAATCCCCTCTGTATATTATTATATTAACTATTAATTATTATTAACGTAAAATAAAAATGATGAGAAAAAATGAAGAAAAAAATGAGAAAGTGAAAAAAATCTGGCGAGTGGTAACGTTTTGTTAGAATGGCAGAAACTAAATTACTACTGAATTTTAATTAATAAACGAGATGAAAGTATACAATAACTGATTGGCGTTGATCTTTATTTCGATATTACACATCAAACAATCCTTTTTGAACCAAACATTAATATTGAGTATTAAGAGTGGACAATGTAAAAACGGAACTCCTAATGCTTGTGTTCAGCTCAGATTGCTTTTTATTTCAATTTCTCGGAAATTCCCCATCCACTACAACGAAGAAGTAACCAAAAGGGCTGTATTGGTCAGATTCTCTAGATCTTTCTTGTTGATATAATTTGCTGCTGATTTGACACAATTCTTTTAAGTTTGATTTCCATTTTGGATTGGCATTCGAATCAGTAAGTAAATATATACTGCTTGAAGTTAAATTACAAATGACAGTACACTTAAGATATCTAAAAATAATCAAAGCTTTTGAATTCCAAGAGAGTCAAATAGAATTTAATGGAGAATACCTGAACATTTGCCTTCAAGAGATGAAGTTCTAATCTTTGAAAGACAGAGGGTAATTCTTGTTCGTAAAGAATAATTCTTATTGGGGAAATGCCAAGAATCGAAATACGAAATATGATGACAAAACGAGGAGAAAAGTTTTCCATTATCAAAAAAAGCTGTATTCGCAGCTGAATAATTGTGGCAGGGCAACTAATTACTTTTCAATTGAAAAACAATTATTTGTTGACCATTTAAAAATCTACTGCAAAAAAACAGGTTATTTTCAATATTGCAAATAAAAAAACCGATTCTTGTACATTTTTTAACGGAGCGGGCCGGACCAACTGACCAGTGAGGCAAAATGGAGAAACAAAATTTTGACATATTTGTTGCCCGACTATTGCTAGTGTATTGAGCCGAAACAATCCAGTAATATTCAGCCGGGAAAATCAATGAAAGTAATAAAACAATACAATAATATTTAAAGGAAAGGTAATGTGAATGAATGAAAAATGGAAGTGACAAGAGGGGAGCAACAAAAAATGTAATAATTTTGACATCCACTTTGCCCAACCCTCTTGAACTGCTCATGTTTTTAAGTGTTGTAAATTTTTCAAGTAAAACAATCATGACATTCGAATCATATTTATTTGTTTTGCCTTACATGAGGAACTTAAATATTTGTTTAAATCATCTCTCAACCGTCAATCTATCCTTTATTCATAGATTGATCCTCAGCAGTGAAACCATATACTCACATCATCATCTAAATTTTTTTCAAGTATTCCTTATTTTCGATCACAATAAATGATCGAGAGAGCCGCTTTCTGAATAAAAAACTGATTAAAAATTACTTCCCATATTATCATTTTCTCTGCGTGCCACATAAGAATAAATCACGATTTGAGAAAGAATACTCGACCATCCGGCAAGGAAGACTGCAGGAATAGTATGTAGCATGGGTACGGAGTGGCTCCCGCATAATTCGTGCGTTCCATGGTGTCTTGATTGAGTCAAATCGAAAAATTTAACTGAAGCAGATCGTTAATTGCAATGTATCTTAGGTCTATTTAGTCGTCATATGTGATGATTCGTATTCGTAACATATAAATTATCATCTTAATCCACTTAACTGAAAATCAAAATGGGAACTTTTTAGAAAAAAAAGGAAAACATAAATGCCTAAAAATATTTTTAGTGATATATAGTCACGTCAGCATTCCACCTAAGAATTTCCGAGCATCTGTTTACCAACGCTCGGTTTTCGGATACATGGCCAGTACACTAAAAGATTGTAGGTTCGAGTCTCGTCTGGTACAAAACTGAAGTTCGTTAATTAGGTTTTTTCAGGCTCCCTATCATTGCTGTCGTGGATAAGGATAGCTAACAAATCATGAAAATTGGAATATTTCCTTCTTCCACTTTTTATCAATTAATTCAATTAATGCATTAGTAGCGAATCATTTGTCGAACATGTACAATCGACTCTGTTGGTCTTTATTCTACGTGGACTCCACTTGACAAATGTTAGAAATGCAACGTATGGACAATAATAATTTCAATGATACCAAAATTAAAGTGATAGGATATTAAAAAATTTAATGATGTCCATGGATAATTAAAAAATGTTAAGTCTTATCAGATGAAATGTGACAGAACTATAAGGAAGACCGTGGTAAAAGAAGCAATGTCCGATCTTTTCGTTGTTCAAAGAAACCAGTTCAGTATTTTTTTTTCTGTGTAATATCCAAACATCCAAATTACGTGAAAATTACGTGTCTGTTCCGTAATCCGCCAGTCAAAACAATGTTCAGCAAAAATTACGGACAGTTAGGCACTTTTTCACGAAACTTCCAGGAAAAAGTATGGGACGTTCAAAAAAAAATACAGAACATTCAGTGGAAAAGTTCGTAACTGTTCCGTAATTTTTATTCAACAATGTTTTGACTAACATATTACGGAACAAGCACGTCATTTTTATGAAATTTTTCTCTTCGTGTACGCTATACATGCTATCATGCTATAATTATCTTGGTCAAATCCACGACAATAAAAACTCTCCAAAATAAAAATTTTTCCTGAAAATCTGTAAACTGTAGTTTGTAAAATGTAGAAATTCTATTTTCTATAGAGACTTTTTCCGTGTCTACCATTTATATAAAGCGTTTGAAAATATTCAACTTTACTTCTCGGTAAATTGAAGGAACGTTGAAATCTTACAGCTACAATATTTATTTTTAAAAATTATTTAAAACGCAATATTTTGATAATGAATATGAGAATTCCCGGTAACCTTGCTATTAAATCTCCATGCATAGAATACAACCGCACACGTTCAAATCGCACGTTTTCCTCTCACATACCTGAACACGCCGGTCATTACTGATTGCGACGCTACTGAGTTGCTCTATTACTTCCGGCTTTGCCTCACTTTGCAGACTGCAATAATATTTCGATTAAAAGGAAACTAAACAAGAAATACTCATTCTACCCCCTTGAATTTAGGTATCAATCCGTCGTCAGTCCCAAATATGGCCTCATTTCATTCAGCACTTGAGTAATTCTGTGATCTTATTTAAAGGGTATGGCTTTTTTTACAGGCATGGGCAATGAAAACATTCGAGATGCTCAGCATAATCAAATGGAAAGGAAGATATGCAATAATCATGAATACTTTGAAAAATGAAAATGGACTAGTGTATGAAAGTACAGGTTCGACCGGGGTGTGATTATACTTCCCCTCTTATCTATAAATTGATATATCTAGCGAGAAAGGTGTACAGCAATTATAAAGCAATGATAATCAAAAGCCGTGATATAGTTCATAAGTGGAGAGAAAAATCGGATACTGTGAACAAATCAGAGCATAAAAATAAATTTGGTCAGATTACTCAAAGTGATCGTAATAATAATTGAATGAAATGCAGGCAAGTGCAGAGAATATTATCTCTCATTTCCATTAATTTTTTGCTTGATTATCATAGTTCAATCATAGTACTAACATGGGAAATTTACATGAGACAATAGGGGATGGTGTGAAAGTGACGGGAGGGGTTCCAATGAAGAGTAAAGTTAGTCGACGCATGCGCATGCTTATTGCTACCATCCAATACGACATGCGCACATCAAATGTTTCCCTCAAGCTTACGTTCTCCCTCTCTCATATTCTATCTCTTACTTTTCCATGTTGGTTTGTAATATACTTCTCCCACTCTTGCAGGACTCCGCGCATAACGATAAAATCGTTCACACCTACCAAAAATGATTGCTATATAAGCGCAGGCGCATTCGTGAACTTTTATCGTGTTGATTCCCACCCATTACTCAGTTCCAGAATGGAAGAGATGAAGTTTCATCGCTTTTTAAAGGTCTACCGATTTTTTCATTCCGTTCATTAACCGAAAGGCTTTATCCTGATGCTTTCCTGATCGGTATATAAGACTGAGCACCATTAATTGTTGCCTAGAAAAATTAGACTTAGTATTTGAACTTTATTGAAATAGAGTATGAAGAATTTTATTATTATCAGTCCGATTATGATGATACGAATCTTTCATTCACAAAAAGAAAAACCTTTCGATTTGCAGAAACTGGCTGCTAATTTTTTGTGACTGATGCCTTATAAGGACCTTTAGACATTGATTTGCATTTATTTAAAAATTAGAGATTTTGGGTTTGAATATTTTCGGATATTTAGCGAGAAGTATTCGAAATTCCTGGACGTATACTCTTTTCAACAAAACCGAATATGAATAATCACAAATCAAATGAATAGGCACTTTTTGAGATGAGGAAAACCCGCATGGGAAATAGAAAATATTCATTGTAAGCCCGTATTTTCCGGGCACAAATGTAATGCATCAGATATGTGCTGAATATACGTGAGTACATATGGGGCATTCTCCGAAAATAACTGACACGATGTACGTGATCCTTATTATAAAAGTAGAAACACAAAAATGAAGTTCGCCCGAGTTGAAGTATCTCGAAACGCGTAGGACTAATTCCTCATTGGTCAACTCGAACCGCCAAATTTAAATTCGGCGCACGGAGTGCGCAGTAGGTCACGTAGTACATAATGAGAGAAGCATTCATGAATTAAAAAAAAATTTTTATTGTATCCGTTTTCGAAATGTGAATTAAAAAATTTGTTTTTCAATAGTTGATAATTTCCCAAAAAATTGACCAAATTAAATTTTTTTTTCCTTCAAAATTTCCATTTTTAACTATATTTTTATTTTAAAAATGCTGCAAAAATATTGCTCTTTCCTAAAGTGATGATTTTCAATTTTTGAACAAAAATTATACGATTTTGGCCAATAGGCCAATGTTTTTTTTTTAATTCTTGAAAGAAGTTTGATTTTCTCAATGAATTTCGACTTTTTTC